GCGACAAATTAATTAATATTTTTATTAATTAATTTCTTTTAATATTTTTATCAATTTTTTTTATCAGTCATATCTGAATTCCTTTATCAATTGATATGATCGATCATTTTTCTGAATTACTACTGATAGCTCTGATAATAATATTCTTTCTAATACTTTTATTTCAATTACTTCCTGCCAATTTCATTTCAAATTTAAAATTATCCAATTACAATTGAAATCCTATAATTCAATTATTAAATTTAAACACAATTTTGTCGATCATTATAAATCATTCTTCTTTTATTTCTCTTCTTTTACATACAATGTTACTTTTATTTCACATTATCCAAATCTTATGAATCATATTTATGCCATTATGAATCATTTGTCCAGTAAGCAATAATTAACTCATAGTTAACTAATTAGAAATTTTTAAATCTCAAAAATGTACCGATGAAATTTTGTATCTTAATTCACAGTTAATTAATTAGAAATTTTTGAATTTCAAAAATTGTATCGATGAAATTTTTTTTCAGTGTATAATGCAAGAAGAAACAATAAACAAATATTTGCTGATATTTACATTTACTGCTGTTTCAATAGCTCTCGCAATTTTACTATTCATATTTCTGAAAGATAAATTTTGTCCAGGAAGAAATTTCTACGTGAAACATTCGTATCATCACGCAATACCACAACAGAATGAGCTTACTGAAATTTTACACGATTCACCGAATAAAATTTCAATAAGGTTAAGTTTGTTTTAGCTTCTGATTCTTTTCTAGCATTTCTTTTTATCTCATCAAATTTATTATTCTTTCTTTAACTGAAATATTTTTGATGATATTTATAGGAAAGAGGAATGGGAAGAATAATATATCAATTATGTATAGTATTATATAACATAAGAGTTATGCGAAAAGGATTTCAGAAATTTAATCCTTTTTTAAAATTTGATTTAAATACTTTTGATAGGAAATATAAAGGAATGCTAGAAGTTTTGCAGCGGTATATAAAAGTTATATGGAATTAATGCAAAACTTATACTCAGGAATTTTGCTGTAACTAATTTCTATGAAAGAATTGATATAAAGTGAAATAATTATTGCAAATTGATGAAACATAGAGTAAAAGTTTATCAACGTGAGGTTATAGGTTATAGAGTACAATGTAGTATGAGAATTTTCGTAACAGCTAACATATAGAAGATGCCAACTTCAAATCCGTTTAATGAATATTTCTTTAATTTTAATTTTTTCCCCCAATTATATTCATTACTTTCATTTTCTTTCCTAATTGCTATTTGTTATCCTTAAATAGTTTCGCTGATAATAACACATTATGATTGTAAGATCGAAATTTCAAAAATATTCTTACAGCCATTCGCCGCATATATTACATTAATTATTTTCGATATGATATAACGATCGCTTCATTCGTTTCTTCATAAATCATTGTAATTAGCTATAATTTATAATTGGCATAGAACTTTAGCTTTACTGTTTTCCGATTAGATTTCCGGGAGATTTAAGTTAGTTCTTCTAAAATATACAAATTTTTCAAATTCGATACTTCTTCTTTCTAAACTTTCATCCTTCTATTTCTCTTTTCCTCTGAAATAATCGTTTCTTCCTTTAGCATTTACAAAATGTATTTTGCGATATTTTTTAATTTACGGACTATCACTAAAATTATTACTATCACTAATAGACTATCACTAAAATTGTTAGCATCACAAGTCAGTTTGTTAAACCAAAAATTACAACGTCTTTGACATCGATTGTTTTTCAAAAAAAAAACCTTAAAATATTTCGTAAATCTCAATGGCTTAATGTTCGATGTGTAAAATGGAAAAGGTGAGGAGTGAATAAAATTTGAATTTTAAAATTGTAAAAGCAAAAAATGATTGATTTGAATAAATATAATACATTATCGTGAAAACCAAAAATGATTGATTTCAGTAAATAAAATTCATTATTGTGAAAATCAAAAATGATTGATTTGAGTAAACAAAATGCATTATCGTGAAAACGATAAATGATGGATTTGAGTAAATATAATAATTGATTTGAGTAAATATAATGAATTATATCAAATAATCATCGTATAATTAAATAATGATAATCACAAATTATCCTCAGATTCATTATCATATCGAATAATAATGATCACAAGCTACCCTCAGATTTATTATTGGAGATCTTTTGTTTTATTTGATACAACAATGCTTTAGAGTGTATTTTGAAAGAGATTTTTGCTAGACAAATAATCCATTTCAAAATTTACCCTTATCATCAATTAATTTCAATAAGAATATTGAGAAATTTCAGAAAATAATCAATCAATATAATAGATTATTTTTAGAATCATCGTAATGCTACTTAGTAATACATTGATAATTAAATAATAACAATTAATAATTACGATTATTTTTAGATCAGATGGTGCAATACCAATCGATTTGCCAGATCTCGATTATATTGATGAACAAAGCGTTCATTTGGTGTCACCAACAATTGTCGTTCATTCATTAAAAAATTCTCCTGTATCTTTATGATAATTATGATAGTAAGAAAAAGAAGAAGAAGCAAAAAACGCCGCTCAATATTGAACGACTGCGATTTCATTTGAATTTATAAAATTTAATTAAATTATTTGCATTCATTATCATTATCATTATCATTATCACTGTGCATATCACTTCGTTTCTTCTCTCTTTTTTTTCATAGAAAAAAAGGGAAAAGAATTTAAAAAATATAAATATATGAGAATTTTGCTGATAATTGATAAATTATTTATCACAAAGGATACTTAAAACTTATTAATTAATTTAAGTTCCGAAAAAACCCTTTCCAATTATTTCAAAGAAATTCCTTGTTTCAATTTTAAATTCAAAAAAATTTTATCATAAATTAATTGCAAAAATTTAATTGAAACAAAACGAAGTCATTTACAATAGAATTTTTCAAATTGAAATTTTAGGAAGATTGGCATATAAAAAAATTTCTATTTAATTTAAATAATTATAGTTTACTTTTCATAAACTATTTTTATTTTATAATTAACGATCTCATTTTAAAATTAATTTAATTATCGTACTTGAAAAGTTCGAACAATATTTTAATTTGTTATATGTAGCAGCGTACTATCTTTATTTTCTTCATGAAATGTGATCTGAATTTTATGTTGTTGAAGATTCTTTTCAGAAATGACGTGATTGAATCCTTTCATGTCACGTAATCTTTCTTCTTTCACTAATCTTTCATACGCTTCATCTATATGCTATTTCAATGAGACTAATTTCAACATAGTAAAATAGATGAGATATTTAGCTATAATATTTTATAGTTGTAACGTCAATAATCTCTTACTTTTACGTCATATAGTGCGTTCCGCAATTTTATTAGTCATTGTTTTGCTTATTTTTCGTTAAATGCCTTATTCCTAATTTACGAAATCTTAATTACATTTAATTGTTATCACTATTTCCTAAGTTCTGGTTATGATTATTCGTTATGATTATTTCCTAAGTTCTTTCCCTAAGTTCATAAAACTACCAAAAAAGAAAATTGACCTCATTAAACCTAATAACATTATGTGTCGAAATTTATGAATAACTGATTAATTAAATGAAAAAACTGATAATGAATATATTTGTGAATTGATTATGTAAATGAAAAAAAAAATTCGTTTGATGTATATCAATCTTATTCATTGCTAATTAATTATATGTGTACATACTTTTTCCATTAATATATTCGAAGATCGGAACGCCGATTCAAAATCAGTGATATATTAATCACTAATGACTGCCTATTTATCAGAAATTTGATATAAAATTTGCGAAGCTTTTCAATTTTAAAGTTGTAATAATGCTTATGTATGTGTCACAATTAAACTTTAAAATTATTTCATTTAAATGATTCAATTTGCTCAATATCAATCATATTCTTATTTGTGTCATTTTTCTTTGATAATAACATCTGTTAAATGATAGGAATACAAATAAATGTTGCATGAATTCCTTCCACTCACATAATATCTGTTAAATGATAGGAATACTACAAATAAATGTTGCACGAATTCCTTCCAGTCCCATAGTATCCGTTAAATGATAAGGATACAAATAAATGTTGCAAGAATTCCTTCCAGTCGCATAATATCTGTTAAATGATAGGAATACAAATAAGTGTTGCAAGAATTCCTTCCAGTCGCATATACTTACTTACAGGGATAACACTTCCCAAATATTATTTTAGAGTTTGTTCTAAAATTTAGTTATGCTATTTATTGCAAAATTAAAAAGAGACAGCGTTGAACAGAATGAAAAGAAAGCTATACGGTAAAAAGAATTTTAAATTCAATGTCAAAATTTAAAAATAAAAATTATGAAAATTTTATTAATATTTTTAGATTTAAAAATTTTTCCTTTTTCGAAAAGTTGATAAGCTGATAAGCTTTCTATAAGTTTCTTCAAATACTTTTTCAAATAATTCAAATACAAATTCTGTCATTTCAATTTATATTCATCGCCCTGAGTGGTTTCACTCGACGAAAGACGCCACCCAATTATTCATTATTAATTATTATTATATTATTATGCAATCGTTATTGAAGATTACATTATTCATTATCATTATCACTCATCACGTATAATTTTAATCTTTTTATTACTATTATTATCAGCTTATGATATAATGTAATGAGATATTTTTTAATTCATTTCAACAACAATTTATTGAATAATACCAAACTAATTTTAATTAAAGTTGGAAAAACAAAGAGTATAATAAAATAATTTGAAATTGAAAATGATAAAAGATAAATTTAATATCGTTTCGTATTATTATTTATTGCATAACCTTTCAGTGATTATCAATATTTTGGTGATAAATTTAAGAAGGCCTTTTTACAAATACTGAAAATTTTGCATAAATTCTACTTTATTCTAAAATATTAATTATTTTGACAAATTTATTAATTATTTTCTCCTCGCAAAAGTGGTAATTAGCAAGCAAATGCATGCAACATGCACTACGTTTGTAACCTGCTTCCACTTACGTAATACATTTTGCATGCAATCTGACATATATACATATTTATCCTTCACAATACATTCATCATCCATTAACTATGTTAATTATTCATTCTTGAAAGTTGAAAATATTACAAAAATTAAGTAAAGCATTTTAATTACTAATTTACAGCTGTGGCAAGCAGTAAAAGCTAAAGAAACAAATGGGGATTGCTTTGATCCGGAAAGAGGCAATTATTATAGGTAATTAATTCATATGATTTTAAACATTTTTCCACAATCGCTCCTATGAAAAATGTAACTTATATGAAAACGGAAATTAACTATCAAATTTTTTTGTATAACTTTTTGTGACTATAAGTAGTTCAAATCATCTATTGATCTGCCTGCACCACCTCCAATAAAAGTCGATTGATAAAGAATGATCTATAAATGAGAATGATAAAGAATGATCTATAGCGATCATTTTTTTACCTTCCAACGTCAACATAATGATTTAAATGAAATTTTGATAAATCTTAATTATTACTTTAAAAAATAATGGAAGCGTCGTATAGCGACATTTTGAAAGTAACAAGTTTAAGATGAAAAGTGATGTGATAAGAATATGATGCAATTACAAATGTTAAATGTTACATATGACCCACAAATTTATAATTACCACTTTTAAATCATTTAATTTAATTTAATTCAAAACAATGGAAGCATAATTTAAGCCAAAAGATATAATTAGCAAAGTGAAATAAATTTGAAATTTTGAAGAAATAATTGATTATAAAATATTTCAGTCCTAAATTTCGCTTTTGCGTATATGCGATTAATTACGAATTAAATGATGGCGTCTTTACTTTTGACGATAAATTATATTTTAATAACGCTCAATTATATAATGATAGCGATATAACGATAGATGAATTTGAAATAGCAGCAAAACCTTTATGTGATGCAATTACAGATATTAATGCAACATATTACTATGGCGCTTGGGTTAAAGTAAGTTTAGATGTGAATTGCTCTTTCAATTAGAAAATTAATAAATTAAGCAAAACAGGTAAAAAGGTTATAAGTTGTATGTATAGTGGTATAAGTTGTAGTTGATTGCTAAGAAGTTATTAAGATAAATTGGCTGGAGAAGCTATAAATTATAGTAAGCATAATTATGCTTTCTTTTTTTCTGCAACTTCGAATTATTGAATGTTTGATCGGAATTCTGGAAATGATAAGTATAAAGAATTTTGTATTTGTCGTAGAAGTCATACGGTTTGAATTTTGGAAATGATAGTTATAAAGAGTATTATATTTGCCGTAGAAGTCATACGGTTTGGCTATATGGCTAAAATGAATTGGTAAATTCTATATTCTAAATTCCAGTATCTCTCGTATTGGAAATGAAGAAAATAGCGCATTTTGTTGCAGACGAAAATGGACACTTACAAAGATATGTTTATGGGATGTTGTATATTTTGCCAGGCGTTAAGTAGAATCGATTGGCTTATCACATTAAAAATTCAAATAATAAATCTATCGAAATTTGCTCTACTACGAAAAGATATGCTAATATATCGAAAAAAAATGCTTCATTCTTTTTATGATACGATCTATATATCGGGTGGTTTTGCTAGAATTCCGGCATGTGAATCATCAAACTATAACCTTGTATGTACAAAACGTGTAATTTATTTCACATTTACTATACTTCTTGATTATTGATAATTATTTCAATTAATGATGAACGGATTGATGACATTGAAGTTCATTATTAAAATGAATTATTGGGAACAGCAAGAGATATTAGATAGAAAGACTAAATGGCTTTGAGAATATTTACTGATGATGCCTACAGTTATTTTAATAATTTCATTTGTCCTCAAATTTCTAATCTAATAGAGAAGAGAGCTCAAAAGATGATTGAAGTATAATACATATTACTAATTTATAAGGAAGGAATGGATTTTGAATAATCTATGGTAATTATCGATAGAATGTGCTGTTAGAATCTGAAATGAATCTGCAAATTAGATTTCAAAATTTAAAATTGTATTCAGAATTCAATCAATGCGATTAGAAGTGCACAGAAGAGCCTATCCTCTCCTGGCAATTGAGAATTCATCTTCCTCTTACAGTTGTATTATTTTAGATTCCTGTGTTACTTCGAAATCGTGTTGGATTCGCAAGTGCTTTCGAAAGATCAACTTGGGAAAGTTTACTGTTACGTGCCATTGCACCACCACGTCAAAAGAATCCTGCGTACATAGGACAATACACGTCCGCTATTGCTAACAAATACAAACGAAACCATTGCCTAAATTCATATACATTTATAGTTAGTCTTAGAAGTTTTCCACAAGAAATATACTATACATTCAATATACATTCACGTACCTAAATTTCAGCCTTACAGCGTATGCCATATATACGTGTTATTGTCGAAACATTATGGCTATGAATGTTGTTGCTACGGTAGCAAAATTCCACTTTGTCAAGGTTACTGAATTTCTTTCAAATTGCTACTTTTAAAAATTACTATAGTTGTATTTACATTATCATAGGTAATGAAAGAGAACTTTAGGAAAAAGTACTGTAAAATTTTACAATGAACTTTCTGTAATTAATAATTACGCACGTGATACGTGCATAATGCATATAAAGAGAATATTATCTTTAAGGGATTACTTTTCAATGTAGCCTGGAATGTTCTTTAATGTGAACTTTAATGCAGAACGGATAAGGAATACAATAATAACTGGTGCAAGTGCTGGCCTTCAAAGAGCAAAAAAAGCTTGTGTTATTGATAAGGATAGTGTTAATTATCAATCAGAGATCAATTTTAATACTGATGGGATAGAATACAAAGGCGATGTATTCGATTTAATGAATGATATGGAACAAAATGTAATTAAATTAAACACTAACTGTCACGTATATTTTCAGTATCATAGAAATGAATGGAACATTTAAATTTTCATTAACTCAAAGTAATTGTTTTTATCAAAAAAAAATAAAACTTCTTGAAATTCATTCTAAATTCTATTTTACAGAAATAATATTTCCCTCTTATTTATGCAAGCAATAATTTGTTTACAGTTTTGTGAACTTCATTTGATATTTAATGGCACCAAACAAATAAATGTTTCGTTTAACGGTAATTATATTAGCGAACGACTTTTTTTATCATATCAGCAAACAACAAAGACTATTGAACAGATAACCATTTCGGATATGAATGAATTAAGCCCAAAACAACAATCATCGGTATAATTTGCATATGATAATGTTTTTGAAAGATGGCGATTTTTTTAAGTATTAAATTAATCAATTAATCAATATTAAATTAATCAATTAATCAATATACGTTAGCACACTGATTAATTTCAACATAACGTAGTTAATCAATTCTAATAGTTAATCAGTTCTATTCGTACGTTAATCAATTCTAACGTACGTGTTAATCAGTTCTAGTAGTAAGATATTATAAAATGAATGAAAGTTGCGTATGATAATTTAAATATATCATTTACGTAGTCTGTCATTTGAAATTGTCACACATATAGAAATGTTTATTTATTTAATTTAAATTTGTTGTAAAAGAATATCATTTTGTGATTAAAGCATTCTTTAGCTTCTGTATCGGCAGATTATTTCACTCCTAAAAAAATATCAGTCATATTTAATTTTAATTTCAATTTAATCAATTAATTTTCTTTTTAGAATTTGAACAGTATGAATGATTATGAGATAAAAGAAATGAGTTATTATACAGATTTAATTAATGTAAGCTTAAATGCTACCAACTTATTCGAATGTATGGATTTCAGTAGTTGGGATTCTCGAGAGCATGATATCTTGCAATTTATTTGCGCGCAACTTTTGCGTTCGCCATTTTTTCCACTTAATTTTTTCCTCCTTTTTTTTTACTGCAAAAATTTTGACAGCGAAATAATCAAACTATTTGATTCATACATTTGTAAATTATTCAATTTTAAAGCAAATTATTCAATGAAGAAAACTATTATTATTGCTAATTTGAAACTTTCAAATTATTTTTTAGCAGCTGACAGCTGACGTGATTTTTTCAGTTTCCTGAAATTTCGTAGTTGTCAATTTTTTAGCATTGGATGCACAATGTCCATTTAGTAGTTCTAAAATTTTCAAGCAACATCAGCATATTATGTGTTGTTGTGGTCATCGGTCATTTTGCAACTATAATGTTTGTTAGATTGTTGAAAAATTCACATTCATATTTTCTTCAAAAAAAAGTTTTTGCACTTATTGACTTGTAATATTATCATGGAAGATGCTAGAAATGAAATTAGAAATCAAAATTATGCAAATTTTTTTAATTAATATTACTGAGAAATTTATGGATAAAATAGTAATGGTATTTATAATAACTTATAATCAACAAAAGTATTACTCTAACTTAAAATGTAATTGATAAATTTGATAATTTCAATAATTATTATTTCTCCCAAAAAATATAATGCATCTTATAATATTATTATTTTAAGCCTGATATTATAAAACGTGCATCTACAAAATCAATTCCTAATTTATGTGAATATAACAACGAATATCAGTATTTTTTACATGATTATTTTTATCCCACTCAACCGGATGTTAATCATACATGTTTATTGCATTTCGTTTCCGGAAATGCTCTAAATGATATGAATAATTTTTTCCCACAAGAAGATTCTATCGTTTATTTTTTACCCGGTATATCATTATATTTAATGAAACTTATTGTTCTTATTCTTCACTTATTGTTTTTCTCAATTATTAACAATTGAAGTATTATCATATCAGTTCAACATATCAGAGTATCATTATTCATGTTTATATTACTTCTTCTAGGTTCTGCTATACAACCAATTGATTTCTCATACGCATTATTAGAACCTAACAAATGTGACTATCTCGATGTTAACGTTAGTTGACAATTTATTTCTATTCTTTATCATCATGAAAATTATTGATAATATATAATGTTTAAAGCTTAAATAATTTTGTAATTTAGCAACTAAAAATTTTTATCTGATAAATTAAAATTTACAAATATCTTCTTTAGAATAAAGAATTAATAGTTTAAGATCTTTTGTATTAATTAATGAATTTTCATCATTTTGCAGTTGAAAGACGACTATCTTCGGACTCGTTGTTGAATAAGATCTTTTGTATTAATTAATGAATTGTCATCATTTTGCAATTGAAGGATGAAGGATCTTCGGACTCGTTATTGCTATGGATAGTTTACGATCTTTTGTATTAATTAATGAATTATCATCATTTTGCAGTTGAAGGATGATTATCTTCGAACTCGTTATTGCTATGGATCAACCAAATTTCTGAAATATTTCGAAACGGAATTCATGCCGATGAGATTATTTGCATGTCGATGTCAAACAGCTCCTGGTGATAATGTACCCTGTGATAGCATGCTGAAGCATAATATCGCTAAAAAAGCTAAAAATTCAGTAAGACATTTCTTTTTTGTCAATCTTTCTAAACGATATAAAAGTGACTAATTTTTTCGACAAAATAAAATTTAACTTTTTGTAAAATGAAATAATTTTGAAATCAATTTCTATTTCTGATAGCAGCTTACTTCCATTCAATTATTCCATTTCTTCAATGCAAATTCATTATGTAAACATATGCATGTTATGTTCGACATGCATATGCATGTGCAATCATTTTACAATTCTGCAATTTATATAGCACAAAAAATTGTAAATTATTTTTAGCAAGTTCATTACATCCAATGATTTCAAATGGAAATCAAATTGATTCAGTCTTTGATAGTTAAATGAAATCTTTTTATGCTTGAAATTTTAGTTTACGATAATTATTATCTCAAACTAAGGTTGTTAATATAATATCGCAATTAGTTGTAAGCGTAGAATGATTTTTCGACATTGTAGAAAGAAAAATCGAATTACGAACGAATTTGGCTGAAAAAAAATTCATTGATTAAATAAATATATTAACAAAGAATAAAGCTATCTGTAAATAAGTATAGAAGTGTGTTGAAAAATTAATCCAATCATATGAAGTAAAAGTTGTTACATAATATCGCAATCATATCTTATAAGAAAGCAAAATTCATCGTTAGCTGTGTTATTATGAATTTTTATCACTGGCGATAACACAGTAACATGGAAGATTCAATCCTTTATATCAAATTGAAACCTAAAATTTAATGATATAAGAGGTGATACAAAGAAGAGGTGAAAAAATCAAGTTTCCAAAAAAGGAATTTGAGATAGAATGATAGTATCTTCAGCCTAAATATGATGATATATTGTCCATTAAACTATTTAGACTGTTTTATTGATTAGGTTGTATCTTGAATGACTTGATCTTATCCAACTTATCCATATCTTCTTTTTGTTGTATATTAAGTTTCTATTAAAATGTTATTCCTGCTAAACTTTAATTCTTTCCAACTATTACCAATCTTACATTTGGATGAACTATTCATAAGTGATTCTATTAAATTGAAACAATTTCAATTTTCAAAATTTTATTTCAGGATCGAAAGTATTATTGTGCTACATATAATCGTCAGCATTCAGTGAAATTCAATCAAAGACCAAAATTTGAAGTAAATGATTTATCATCATATTGTGTAACAATATTGGATTTCAAAGTCATTGGTGACAGTTAGTCTTTTTTCTTCATATTTCTTTTTCTTTAAACTTTTTAAAATAACCTATTTTTAGAAATAAATATAATTTCTGCAGATTTATTTTATTACCTTGAAGCTAACTTCAACATTATTACCTTGAAGCTAACTTCAACATTATTGCCTTGAAGCTAACTTCAACATTATTTCCTTGAAGCTAACTTCAGGATTTCTACGGAAGCATTGAAACTTTGTTGAAAATTTGAAACTAATCAGCAAATGCATGTCAAAGCATGATACATCTTTTGAGGCTTACAAATTTTGAAAGAATGATAGTTTGGGTGGTAGAAAAGGAGAAGAATGAGGAAGAGTTTTTCTTCCGGTCACTTCAAAATAACATCATATTGCTTATGTTCACTTTCTATGTCCACTTTCAGAAGTTAAAAAGTGTCCAACTAATTTTACAATTAGTAAAAAAATTTAGCGATACATTTAAAATTTTAATATATGCTAGAATCGATGTATTATTAATTTAACATATCGTTGACTTTTGATGGTTAAATTCTTTTAAATTTAAATTATAATTTTACTTTTTTTGCTAATTTAAACTTAATTAATTAACTCTTTTCTTTCTTCAAAAACAAAAAAGTGAAAATATTTTGATCATTTTTTCAGAAATTTATTATACATTTAATGGACATATTGCACGTAGAACACTTATAAATAAAGTGAAATTTCGATTAGCAATGATTCCATATACGATGTACACATTGTGAGCTTTTTCCATTAAACTCATTTAGACATAATTTCACTCTGATAATTTTAATTGTCTTTTATCACTTATACTTTGATAATTCTAATTACCTCTTATCACTTGATATTCTTCATTAATTGCTTACCTTTGAAGTGTATGATAACTAGAAATTCGATATATTCTTTTAAATGACAACTTTCAGTTGATAGAAATATGATGGAATATTTGTTACAGTTGAAATAATCAAAATGAAATAAATTTGGCGTAATTAAAATTTAATAGTTACAACTGAAATAAACGTCTAGCAATTTTAATTAGTTTACATTAAAGGTAATTTCAATCAATTAATTAATTAATTATTCTAATTTTCTTTCATTTTGACTATTTCATTAAATTAGAAATAAGATGTAAATTTTAGGTCAGGTGATGCAACACAACTATGCATGCATCTTGTGAAAGGTGAAATGATTTTGTGCATTTGTCGCAATGACTATACAAATCGAGAACCTTGCAATTTGAATCCTTATGAGAAAGGAAGAGCTTTACAACTTGCCCTCCATGAAACAAGCTTATCTAAAGTAAGTATTTCAATTCTTTCACTTCCATTTAAAGTGAATCATTACAAGAAGACATTATAGGCATATCACAGATTTACATATCAATTTTTCATAGCTGCTTTTAATAGCGTAATTTCAATTAAAATCTTACATAATGTAAGCAGCAGTAGATATTAATTATTGTAATCTATACAGTATACCTCGTAATCTACACGCACGTCTCGTTGTCTTCATGTACACACATGTCTCGTAGCCTCCACGTACACGCACATATGATTTAGGATTAATAGTGACAATCGATCATTTCTGTTCTCATTAATGTCTTATACGTTTTCAAGAGTAGAAAACTGTTTCCAAATGGACTTGCAGCGTATACGACGTCAAAAAAGCCTAAATTTTGTCACAGTGAAAGCATTTTCAGTACTATCATTACTAATGGTTAGTTTCCAACTTTTATTCAATGAAACTTAAATGAAATTTTAATTCGATGCTTTAATAATATATCAAAAGAATACTGCGAAATGTTCCGACTAATTTGCTACTTACTAATTTATGCTATAAATTTAGCAAACAAATCAATTCTTCCCTTTTTTGATATTATAAAATTATGAATTAACAAATATTCTAAGAAAGAAAAATGCATATTATATTAATTTATATTTTTTTCAATCAATTAATTAAAGCTAAAATTTTGGTTTGTTTTTTTTTGAATTTATATTAATTGTATTTTTCAATTAATTAATTAAAGTTAAAATTTAAATTTGTTTTTTTCAAATTTTTAAAATTCTACATATTTTAGCTGAACAAAATGAAACAAAAATAATTAGTGATTGTGTTAAAAAAACATCGAAATTCAACGAGAAAGAAAGTAAACATTAAATTATTATTATTATTGTTTTATGAAAGAATAATCTTAGCATAAATTGTCGCATTCCAATTATTTCCTCTATTTAATATTTTATTATCATTGAAATTTTATTGCTTAATTTAAATAATTAATGAATTTATTTAGTAAATTTGAAACGATGATAAATTTACCTAGAAATAACTTAACTAATTTACCTGACCAATTTAATAATTGAAAAATTTACTTAACAAATTTGAAACAATGATAAATTTACCGAAAAATAACTTACCTAATTTACCTTATCAATTTGATAATTGATAAATTTACTTAATAAATTTGAAACAATGATAAATTTACCTAAGAATAATTTACCTAACTCATCTAATCAATTTAATAATTGATAAATTTACTCAATAAATTTGAAATAAGTTTATTTATGGTTCAATTCTAATAATTAACGAAGTATTTTATTGGGTATTATAATTTTCTGGGAAGTAAAATTTATCAAAAATCATGAAATGATAAGCTTAGCTTCATTTGATCTTTATTTTTATCATTGAATTATTTCGATTCATTAACAATGTAAATTGATTTATTATTCTGATAACAATATTTTTATTTCATCAAATATTCGTTGAAAAGTAAAATAATTTAAACTATCTATGCTTTCACAAGAAGTAATCAATAATTCTTAGCATTTTCAGAATATGCATCTAAAAAAAGCCATTCCAAGTTTTGCCTGATTTTTACCATTTGAATATTTGTAAAATAATTCAGTTGTTGTATAATTTAATTGTATTTTAGGTCGAGATCTTCTCTGCGCCGAAAAAATGTTACAGGAGGAATGTGGTATAATGTCAGAATCAGATTTAATGAGTGGTATCAATAATGAAATGATCGTTTGTTGCTGTGGTGATAATTGTGATTCAGTTGGTTCACAGTTGCATGAATTGACATATAATTATCAATGAAGGATTGATAATTTCATAGATATTCATTGATTACACTGCTTATGATTATGTGATAATTCTTTTTTTTTTGTTATCTAATAAAAGTCTTGATAAAAATTTGTAGACATATTGCTTACCAGTTATCAATTATCATATTGCTTATCAATTATCATTGAAAGAAAAAAACCAAATTAATCTCAAACATAGATGTGCACGTCATCATATGCACATTATTACACACGCATACGTGAATTTTCAGTAATAACTGAAATAACACTTGTACGTGACACTTCACTTGTGATTATTCGACAACTTGTAAAGTAATGTGCAGTGGTTTTGTTGAACTTATTAACCTCTCAACACCTTTACCTTATTTTACTTCTAATCAATTTGAAACAATGGTTTAAATATCAGGTAAAGTATCCCAGGGACTAAATTAAATTATGGAATAGAAACGATAAAATTGCTTATTTTTGAAAATTAATTAATTTTATATGAAAATTGAATTTTCGTTAATTATATTTGTTATAATTAATGAAGTAATCGTTTTAAATGAAGGCTTTGCTGCGATTGATAGAATAAAGGAGATGATAGAAGGAAGAGAGAAATAACTGTTACGGAAAATAAGTATGACGAATGACAGATATTCGGAAAAACGGTTATTTTCAGAAGAAGAATTGTAAAGTCAATGATTTTTCATCTTCTTCATAGTACAAGTGATAATGATTATATGTTAATAAAACATATAACCATACCGGCCGTATCGGTTTTTCCGCTTTCTCTAATTATTTTTGTTAAAATAACATTATTTATAAATGAAACAATTTTGAAATGAATCTCTATTTCTGATAACAGTTACTAACTGGTTCACTGTTAACCATTTTGAATGCAATTTCAGAATACATACATAAAAATCATAGTTGTATGTTATGCTGACATGCATATGCATGCGTAATAATCTCACAAATCATGCATTTATGCAGCACTAAAAATTATTCAACTATTTTTAACGAAATCATTACGGCATAATAAATTATATTCTAAATTTTCAACATTATACAGTGGAAAGCAAAAAATTTAATAACTGAACGAATTCTTCAATGTTGAAGTCATTGTCATTTGAAATTATCTTCCGATCGGTTCATTCGACAGTTTGTTGCAAAAGCGATGAGTAGAGGTCTTATCGAACTATTTTCATTCCACAATTTTTACTATTTATTTTTCATTTCCAATTACAATTAATCGTTTAGATAGCAGGCGAGATATTTCGATAAATGAAAGAAATGATGGCTTAGGGAAAAGGTAAAATTGTTAGCTTTTAAAAATTATTTAAATTTACATGAAAATCAAATTTTCATTTTTCAACTTTCATAGCTACATTTTCTACAATTATTGAAATATTTGATTTTTAAAATATTGCTGCAATTGATGAAATAAAGGAAATGATATGAGGAAGAGAGAGAAATAATTGTTATGGAAAGAATGATAGATATTTGGGATATTTTCGTTTTCTTCATAGTACAAGTGGTAATGCAACACAAATGATGCCTTGTCGCTTAGTGGTTATGCGGCATGGTGAGCGAATTGATGATCTATTTCCGGAATGGATTCGTAAGTCTACATCATCCGGATCATACCGAGCTTTCGATTTGAATATGGTAATAAGCTACGTAAATTACTTACTTATCTTAATAATATAATTTCTAATTTTGATTTTCGGCGTTTAACTAATTTATTTATTAGAACAAACTTATTTTCTATGACAATAAAAGAGGTATAAATGAATAAAAAGATTTTTGGTTTAATGTAAGAGAAAATTTTGTTCAATCATTCAAATATACATTATCTTCATTTAAGCCTCTTACTCTTCCGGAACTGAAACGACCGTTCAAACATTATGAAAATGATACGATAATTTCGGAAATGGGTTATATTCTTGCAGAAATGATTGGAAGAGGACTTCTTGTTAATAAATCTATACCCGGTCTGGCAATTTTTAAATTAAACAAACTTTGCGAATAGATTAATATTGTGAATATACTATTGCAACATGAATATTTCAAGTTGAAGAGTGGAAATGAAAAATCGAAAATTAATGATTTATAGAAATTTGTCTAAAACTATAAATGCATTACATATGAACGTGACTGTATGAATCTAAATTTAAATTATTAAATAAGCTATTAAATGAATTATCGAATTACCAATACTCAAATTAATTGATGTTCAAAGCACTGTTTTTTGCTCTTTCGATAGCAATGTATATTAAATAATACTTATTTCAATTAGCTCTCACTCATTAAATTAATTTAAATTAATTAAACTAATCTAAGTTAACTTTTAATTCTGATAAGTTGAAAATTTTCAACTCTGAAAATTTTCAGATGTCATTTATGCATCACCATCATTACGCTGTGTGCAAACGGCACATTCGGTACTAAAAGGAATGGCCAAAGAGGATGAAATTAAAATTCGGATCGAACCGACACTTTTTGAATTTACTGGTCTTTATCCAAATGGACAACCGAAATTAGCAACACCTCAAGAGCTTTACGATGCTAAATTTAACATCGATACTGACTATGTACCACTCACAACAATGGATAATGTAAGAGTTAACTGAACTTTCAATATTAATCTGAAAGAATTAGACATTCATTTCCTCTTTATAACTTTTTATGATGTAAAGAGGATATAAATGATATAAAGAGGATATTTTTATATAAATGATATAAATATATAAATGATATAAAGAGGATATTTTTTTTATTTATGATATAAAGAGGATATTTTTATGATATAAAGAGGAAATATTTAAATTTTTATTTGTTAAAAGTAATTTGTTGAAAGTAAGGAATAATTTATAATTATAAATGGTTAATTAATGTATACGATCTTGTTATATGCTTATTTAAAATTAGACTGCAACATTGATTGATATCACAATCGATGAATAATCAGTGCATCAATCTAATAAGAATGATTTATTGATAAGTTAAATCAACTCAGCGTAGCATTCTAAAATTTAGTTACGTGGAACTTATCACATTTCAAATCACAGATTTGGGAAATGAATGAATCCATCGAAATGTATAGTAAACGTGTACAAAATCTGCTACGACAATTAGCCACGACAAATGAATGGAGTCAGCGAGCTGATGGTGCTTTAATTTTGGNCTTATCACATTTCAAATCACAGATTTGGGAAATGAATGAATCCATCGAAATGTATAGTAAACGTGTACAAAATCTGCTACGACAATTAGCCACGACAAATGAATGGAGTCAGCGAGCTGATGGTGCTTTAATTTTGGTAAATATTTCTCCGAAATTATTGAAAAATTTAAAATAACAAAAGGCTTTTGAAGATCAAAGAATGCATCGCAAAAATTTATCGACGACTCTGTCCTGAGTGACAAACAGAAGTATTTGAAGGTTCATAAAGTTCTATCAATATCTTGCAAGGTAATATGCATCTGATTCGGTAACTTATATGCCAATCCTCAGTTTTCTATTTAAACTATAGGTTGTTGGGCATGCATCAACAGTAGATTTGGCAATCGGTGCATTCCGGGAACCACCTCGAACAGTTCTTGCTCGAGAACTCATCAATCACGGAGAGAAATTCCCTTACTGCTGTACAGCAATTATCGATCGAATGGATAATGGTCGATGGTTGTACAACGAAACTGCCTTGCCACCCATTACTTATATGAATTTTAGCTCGAAAATTAATCGAGATTTTGCTATGCGCAAACGGGCTGCAACGTGATAACCCAGAGAACTCAGATGAATTCCGAACCCCAACTCACCCACATTTCTTCCAAAGACTTACGCAATAAAACGCTACCATTTGTCAACATCGTGAAATGTGAGGCGCTCACTTGACATTAATTGAGACACATCCTAATGATACGATGATAATTGAGTAAGATGTGGTATAGAATAAAAGGGATGAAAAGCTGTTTCACTCTATAATTAACCTGAAGCCAAGGTATAAGGCAATTCCTAATATTACGCTTTATGTCGTGTGCGGTATTGTTCCCCACAGTAATTGCATAATATTTTGCTATTTAAAAATATGAAATGAACTCAAGAATATTGCCAACAGAAAATTTATTCTGACAATTTATATAACAATAAAATACATTCAAGAAATATTAACCAATAATAATGACGTAAAAAAGGATAGTAAGCTATTTCTTTCTTAGCTTTAAACCGCTTCATCCTTTCCATGCTTCTCTGGCTTGCCACCACGAATTCTGCCCGTCCTACGTGCCGCAATAAGACCTACTTTACGTCCAGCACTTGTTCCACGTTTCACGGTTGATGGATGTCCAATATGCTGGTGATTACCACCACCATGAGGATGCTCTACAGGGTTCATTGCAACACCACGTACCGTTGGCCAGCAATTGCGTTTAGCCTTGTATTTGTGGTATGCATTTCCAGCCTTCAGCAGTGGTTTGTCTGTTCTTCCACCACCAGCGACAATACCTAAACGAGTCAAATAGTAAATGTCAAAAGCAAAAATGATTTGCATCATGATGCTTTAGACATAAGTCAATTTTAGCTAAAACTATAACAAGCTAAAGGTCCTATGCAAATCTTGCCTACGAAAAAAATAATTTTATCTTCAAATACTACTGACACATATTCCGGTAAAGTTCACAAGTAGTTTCACAAGTTTTGAATATTTTAAATAAAAACATGCCAATCATCGCTCTATTTGAAGAATCCAAGACCTTCTTTGCACCAGAAGGTAAACGCACACGAGTTTTCTTAGTCTCTGGATTGTGTGCAACAACAGTAGCATAGTTTCCTATAAAATACATATAGGAAGTTAATAAAATTGGTGCAAATTCTGAATTACACCATTCCAATCATTTGTTGTTTGTTTCCCGATCTCCCTAAGACCTAAGACATTCTCTCAAAAGAAGGTTCATTCCACTTACCCGAAGTGCGCGCAAGACGACCGCGATCACCAGTTTTTTCTTCTAAATTGCATACAGTAGTTCCTTCAGGTAATTCGGAAAGCGGCAGTATGTTACCAATTTGCACTTGAGCTGAAATAAACCGAGCCTCTTTCAAAGATCGTAACACTGACTTGCAAAATATCTTACATCTCATATGACGCATAAAGTGCATGCGAATTAGGTATATATGAATTAGACTTTTAGCCAGTCCTTAAGATCCCATAATCTTATACACTAAATTCTTTTATTACTTAGTGAATAAATGTAAAATCGATAAATCTTAAATGCAAGCATCGCCCACTTACACTTATGCAATTCTGCCCAAGAAGAAATAAAGCAACCTTTTCGCCCACAGTAAATGAATTGCCCAGTATGCATCCCTTCCGCGGCAATCATTATACTCTTCAGAATTTTATATCGATAAGGATCGCGAAATTCGATGAGTGCCAGAGGTGCTCCACGTCCTGGATCGTGCATAATAGTTTTCACTACCCCCTTTATATAACCATGTCGTTCCGCATAGTCAACCGGTCGTAACTTCGCTGCTCCTTTTCGGTGTTTATTATGAGCTTTAAAAATGCCTCCCGGTCCTTTACGTTGTACACGTATCCTACGTCCCATTTCAGCAACTTTCTTTCTCCAATCTAAAATAAAGATTTTGACTTCAATTCACTTATTTCCATAAAAAAAACTGAAGCATCAACATAACCTCTTCCCACAAAGAAATCACAAGATTTGGAAAAATGCCATTACTCCTCACTATGGCGTAGTCAACGCCATAGATATCATGTTAATGAGAGTACGGAATGATAGTACACTATCATAGTTAATTATACACATTCAAAACGTTTCAATTAACCCAAATTTGGTTTGGTAAACCAAATTAAAAGTGAGATCGTCTGAATACCAAAAATCTATGCAAAAAGCAATTTAAACGTCACAGTAGAATCCTATATTGGTTTGGTCTACGTTATGCAATGTATAGAGTCCTATATATAGCACAACGAGGACAAGCATAACCATAAACAACCAATGTTGGTAATAACGGAGTGAGTGTGATCACTCTGGTGGAGGAAATTTCGGTATACATGCCACCGTATGAAATTCAAACTACCATAACAGTGGGCATTTTTGGACTCACGTATGACCACGCACAGTATACAAATATGCTATCGCGTGAATGAACGATGGATAAACATAACATACAGTCCTGGTGATCACACTAGCAAATGGCACTACACCCCAACAATCTCAAACGAAATCGTAACATCCCCCGCCACAAATGCCTTGAAACCAATCAAATCTGCCATCATTTAGGAAACTATGCCACAGGTTTGCGGCGCCAGCTCGAGTGTCGCTCGCGATATGCAATTTAACGTCCCTTACAAGAATGTTGTTTAGATATAATTATTATTAGACATAAGGTCTAGAATGATTGGACAGTCGGGACTTAAATTATCATACTCTCTCTGTCACATTTATTCACAATTTATAATGCTATTTTTAGTGTTATTAAAAAATAACCAAATTTGTCATTTGTTTGTTAATGTCATTGTCATTTGTTAATGTCATTTGTTGTGTTACCGGTTCCATTTTTTAACATATTCCGTTATTATTAACGTTTTTCAGAAGTGCAGAATTGGAATTATTATGAACAGTTATCATGCAAAATATACTGTCTAAAGAATTCAGTCAATTATTCCGAGCATCGATTGAATCGCCCCCTCTGGGAAAATTAGGAGAAGGCTTCACAAATGAGAATTTGCTATAAACAGCACCAGGATTGCCAGTGCACATATCGACTCTTCCCCTTTTTATATATTTAGGCTCATTGCAGTTGGCAACTGAGTGTGTGTCCTTAAATCCATTACGAGATTGGATGCAACTTACTCATTCAGTTTTGCTCGGTTTCGGATTCTTTCTGGCCTAGAGTTATATTTGCTTCAATTTTGACCTGTTTTCCAATTTATTGTTTTCGTTGCATCGAAAGCCAAAAGATATGAAAGGATTAATATCAAATAGATTAGGGAAATGTAAACAACAAGCGATATTATATAAATCAATGAAGCAAAGATTTTTTTATTCCTTAATTTAATTCTACGAATTTAAAAATTCGACTGAATTTCTTCCGTTTCTTTTGCTCTAATCAAATCTCCTTTCTGTTGTTCTAATATTCATTTATTTATATGAATTTAATTTATTCATATTTATGCACTATAATCATTTCTGTTTAAAATTTCAACATCGAAAAGTAGTTGCCATGTTGGAAGTTTTCTCATTCTAACTTGCTTTTCCGATAAGCTTCATATCATATTGAAAATGATCCGATTGCAATCCTATTTTTTTTAAATAAATTCGAAATCCGTTTTTCTTGATATACTATATCTGAATGATTATTTACAACTTTTTTCTTTTTCAGGAATTTTTTCAGATGTAACGGACACTCAAAAATGTTTTTTTTGGCTAATAAAATAAGAAAGTGTGTAAAGCATAAAGTGTGATGAACATTGGCACCGGATTAATCAATCAAACGATGCACTATCGTATCCAAATGCCTAAAGCATATTATGTGCCTTCGACAGATGTCGTGACAACAATTGTCCTACCAACAATACTATTTTGTATCGCTATGGTTATCGCAATGATCATCGGTATAAATAAATGTAAACAATGGGAACTGGATAAAATTATTGAAATGCGACGTACACGACGTGTGGTACAAAGGATAACAGCACGATTACGTGAGAAGAATTTCCGCACTATAGAAAGTTAGTTTTATTTTTGTCGTATTTTACTTGTTTATTCCTTGCAGATTTTTTAATGGTATCGTTGAAAATTCCGATGATTTTCAACATCAAAAAAAGTAGAAAAAATTATATTTATTTGGAAACTATTTACATCTTTCATCTACTTGAGATATGAAGAGGTTTTTCGTTCACTATGGATGGATTATATTGGTTTCCTAACAGGAAAAGATTCCAATTTCAAAAACTTTCTTATTTCCTTTTCCTTCTCATTGACTATTTCCTCAGTTTATTTCAGTCATTCGAAGGTTTCTCTAAACATAGAATTAATTGATTTGATCATTAGTCTTATTTCCTCTTCATCAGTTGTGGAAATTATTTAAAGTGATTTGCTAAAAATCCGAATTTAGTTTGGACTGAAATTTTCACCAAACACTTCTTGCTTTGGACGCAGAGATTTCTCAACAACTACAAAATGAATAGTCATTTAATACTAACTTCACAACACCTCGAAGTTATTATCATTTCTTCACAGTAATCTTCAAATTCTGTAAATTTTTGATAATCATTTGAATATTCTTTTTTTTTTAATTTGTGGGAATATCGGTGCAACAATTCTAATGATGCTCGTTCCATCGTCGAAAAGAGTAGGAAGAATAAATTTCCGCAAATTCTGGTATGAAATTGGTTTAAAAAGTTAAACCTTCCACTCTCCCTCGGATAAAATGAACGAAGTAAAAGCAATGTTTTTGATCAATTTTGAAAGTTCAGAAATCAAAGTCCTAACTTAATTTAGGTCCCATCAATATATATAATAACATATAATAACACTATATATAATTGTATAATAACACTGTGAAAATACTTTTTATAGTGTTTGAAATTACATAAGATTTCCATACATTCAACCGTGATCAAACTATCAAATTTTTAACTTTTGAACTTATTAATTGTAACGTGACTTCTAGAAGCTCGCAGTATGCGACAACGAAAAAGGGAGCTATTCAAAGCGAAATCAAGCAACCAGATAAACGACTTAATGGTAACGAACAACACATCTCCACCAACTTATTCCATAAATCCCCCTACACAATACGGCACTTCGCCGCCGCCTAGCTATGAGGATGCACTTTTGGATGAATTTTTCAATGAATGCCGACCAATACGTGCTAATTAATAGATTTTAGAAAGTTGAACAGAATGCTAAAATATGTTTACGTGTTAGGCTTTGAACGTCAAATTTTGTATAAATTTGGAAAGAGTAATAAAATTTTAACCACTTGACGGTGTAGAGAGGCACTGTTCGTCCATTCAGTCAACAAATGACAATTTGAAAAACTCTTTAAATACACAGGCTATAATTATCTTTTGCTCCTCTATTTAGTGAATTCGAATAATGTAACCCAATCGATGAAAATGTGATCTGCTGACGAGGGGATTAATGCGTTCGATGCCCACTGGGCATAAGAAACTCAATTAAAATAGAATATCCTTTTCTTTTCCTTTTCACGTTTCTTATTCTGAATTGCATAATATTATCTGGAATTTAAAATAGCGAGGGAATGACCAAATACTTCACTCTATTCCGATACTGCAACCAGTATGGTCCATATTTTGCCAAGCACCTGGAAAAGGAATTATTACTTTAGAAATTGCTATTTTTTTTCGCCGGAAATCTATCACCATTTCAATATATTACACCTTACTCTACTATAATTCAGACTTTCCATAGGAAAAATTAAATTTTTTGAGATAAAAACTTGCCTCAATTCATCATGTTTTAATCGTAAGTACAAATGGCATGTTAGAAATAAAAGTGGAAAGCAGGTGAAAAATGTATTTGATCCTTGCAAAATTGTCCAACAGGCAAATGTGACCCACTCGCAAAAATAATTTGGATGTCGACACAATCCCCACCAGCCGCTTCCTGAAATGTTTTAAACTTTTCATTTTACGAATTTACGACAAAACTTTATTAAAAAAAGAAAATTGAATTGTTAACGAAAAATAATAAAAAAATGCTTGGTTGATAAACACGAATTAATCAAGCACGTATTATCGAATGACCGGATATTCAATCCATTAATTTGAATTTTTTACTCACCCAAAAGTAAATTCGCAGCAATTTCGCCGTTCTTACGCCGATATTTGGCGGTAATAAAAAATGGATCTTGACCCCATATTTTCATATTTCCATTAGCAAGTCTGAATTGTATACGCTGTCGATCACTATCAATCGCAATATACACCGCGATAATACCAATGAAAAGTATTGTTACGCTGATTGGTAAAGATAGTATTATCTTCCGTTGTGCAAGCACTGTTACCGGTGTCGCATAGAATGCGGGATAAAGTACGAGAGTTCCCCATATGTAGAGAAATCCTGAAAATATTCCAAGATTACGACAACTATAAACTATTTGCATTCTATAATCCTTCCTGCTATTAGAAGATCAGATTTGACTCCAAAATTGAAGAAATTTCTCCCTTTCAATCGAGAATTACAGAACAAATTATCTTATTTCATTTCTAACAATCAACTTTTGAGTAATCATTTTATCAAAAAAATTAATGATACCAGCCAGCTGCACAAAGAGAAATGTAATCAACCAAGTCAAAAACTCGAAACAAAAAAATCTTAGCAGTCGACACATTTAAGTAACTCATAAAATCCTACAAAGTTCTTCTCTACAATGTGAATGTAGACATCTGAAAGCAAAATGATTAACTTCCATATTTCATCTTTCATCCGTTTCTTTTCGTTTTTTCCTCATTTCAAAAAAGCCGACTACTGAAGTATGTTTCCATATCCTACACACTCCACACTTTATATTACCCTTCCTAAATGTCTTGCCCGTAATCCAGGAACACAGCTCTAGGACAAGATTACCACAGTATACTAAAATATAAACTACAGCAACTATATAAACTACAACTTAAATCTAGCATCTAGTCAATAAACAACTGATATTATTGAGATTATTACAGCTAGAATGAAAAAAAAAGTATATTGAAACTTCAGAAACTTTGAAAAAGTTATCCATCAAATTTTTAACTGCCAATTAGCCAAATTAATTCAGATTATAAGAAAACTTATCATCGCACCAAAAATCTTCAAAAGAAACATTCTGCAACAAATTTGAGAAACTATTACAGATATTTTTTTCATTAAAAATTTTCTTATCATCTTAAATATATTTATAATTGAACTTCGATTCATGGAAGAAAAAACAAAGTCCAATATGACGATCTCATGATTATGTATATCACAAAGGGGAAGTAGTTAGAATGAAATTAGAATTAATCATTCTATCCAAGAGGATCTCAAAGTTAAATGACTGAAAAAGTATTTTCCTCTCTCTCTCTCTTAATATATATTATGTTGCAAATGATATTACACCGAATTGAAATGAGAATAACTTTATGGTTAGAAATGATTTTAAGACATCTTTAGGACTCAACGAATATGAAGAGATTAAGAGATTAAGAGAGTTCACTGAACAAAATATTGACAGATGTTCCAGAAATTGGAGAAATTTTTTCTTCTTTTTATATTTCTATAAATAGAGATATGGATAAGATTACAAGAAGCAAACTAATAAGAATAAGTCTTATTTCTAATATTACACCAAATAATTCAGTTGTTCGTCATTCCTTGCTTCTATACAATATACAATATTTCAATATATAATTAATCACTTTGTTCAATATTTACAAGGAAACTCTCTTCTATTACCTCTTTGTCATCATTATTCAGAATTATTTGAATTCCTATCATTTGAAACTTATTTTTGTTTCAATTATTTCATTCTTATTTGAAGTTTTCTCAATTTCCAATTTATTTGTACAAAAGAAAAGATAGAAGAAATGCTAAAAATTCAGTAAATATATTAATACTTATCAAATTCCGATTATAGTTTATTATGGATAGGGGAATAGAATCAGGAAACATTTTGCATAATGAGAAACCTGTTTTTTTATTCCGAGCATCCAGTTGAGCATATTGCAAATGCTCATACCAATGTATTTTACCAATATAAATGAGCTGCAAAATTGCACAGGAGAGTAAATTATCTGCAAAACAAAAAGCATTCGCTAAAAATACTGAAGTGAAAGTTAATAAAAAGAAGTAGTATAGATTAAAGCTCATTAAGTAATTAAATGCGGCAAATCTTTAACTACAAGTCAAAAATAGCTATGAGTAAGTTTTCTCTTGAATGAACGTTAATGAACAGCTGTCAAAATAATTCACTTGAAATCTGATTGACATAACTAATTCAAATCACGAAGAACATATTGGTAATTCTATTTAACTTGCAATTTCCAATCATTATTAATTTTTGTCAAATGAGAACAAAAGCTTAAAAAATGTAAAATTTTGAAAAATAACTTAAACATTTACTATTGATTCTTCCATAAAATGTATAATTGTAATATACAGATGAAATAATGTATAATGGCCATAAAGTTCGAGAAATTCTGTAGGTGATGAAGTGTTTGAGATCAACTGAATAAATTACTGGTGTCAAATCAGTGCCAAAAAACAAACCATTGATAATATCAGCTGAAAAATGATTTCAGACATTTTATTGCATTTACTACTCTTATTTAAACTTCCTTCCTAATTTCAAAACGCAATCTTACTGAACAAGAGATAATTGTAATTTACATTTAAAAGATATTCGGACTAAAAATTAAAGCTTTTAGAATTAGATTAATATTCAACTGGCGTCTTCATCTTTTACGTGACTTTTCACTTTACAACGTATGCTGCAACATATTTTGATATCAAATAAGTTAAATTCATATCAATTGAAGTGAATATGCTTCAAATTGCATTGCATTTTTTCAATAAACGGATATTGATTTTCTCTATAATACTTGCTTCATTTGTTTTTAGCTTCAAAAGTTTATATATAACTTACAGGTATCATCATCACTTCGTTGTCGTATGTATAACAATAAAACCATGATCATGGATATAAAATTTAACAACGATAAAGTCTGACTCCAATTCATATAAATGATGGATGCTTTATAAAAACCTAGGGCTGAGCCAAAAATGAATAACAGCATTACAAGAAGGCATGATTGGAACGAATTTACCGGATGCCGCTCTCGTTCTCCTGAAATTAAAATAATAATAGAATTATGTGACCTTTGATAACGATAAATAAAACTTGGGACTACCTTTTTCCGGATCAAAGGTTAAGTGGTTAACTTTTGTCAGGCAAAAGTTTTACAACTTTATTATCTTTCGAAATAATTACAGATGCAAAATAACATGCTAATCCTTACCCATACTATTGATGATTGTAACCATATCTTTGGGCAAAACAAGATAAAAGATAAGTTGCAGAAGTGTGATAAAAACAAGAATTTTCCAGGCTACCGAAGAAAATGGTGATGGAAAAATTTGATACAACACATCGCTTTCAGACCATAACATTTGAAGAAGCTGGAAAAAAAATTTCATCATGAATTATATGAAAATTTTTAAAATTTAATTTTAAAAAAATCTTAAAAAGAAAACTGACAATTTCATATAGATTACTTTTAATGATTTTATTAAATTTACCTGCAGAAAGGATGCATTACAATAATTCACCGCGTAAATATGCAAAAAGAGAAGAGATATTCCTCCACAAAGTATAGGTATAAATAACTGAGGAGGAAAATCTCTTTTTTTCTAAAAATAAAAATTGGAATTAAACAATTTCAATAATATTTAAATGATTACTTCAAGATAACATTTCCCAAAAACTTAATAACTTTCATTTATTTAATTATAAGAATATTCAGGAATAAATGTAAATTTCTTTTTACTATCTCATTTACACAAACTTTCCATTCCCTTAAAACATATATATATATATATATATATATTACAGTACACTTTTTTGAAATATGAAATGATATTTAGCATTCAAATAATATAAAAATTTTTTTACATAGAATATAAAAACTAGACAAATTGAAATTGCTTAAAGAAGTCAAAGTGATTTAAATGCATCATTTAACTAAATATACACCAAGAAGCGATTTAAAATATTTTAAAACTTTTATTTTCATTTTAGTATTTTGGAGACGCTTTCTCAAATTTAAGAAGAGCACAGCAGTATTAGCGATTTCTTTTAGTTTCGTAAGCATGAAATGAAATGAGTGTTTCACGAATTGAAGGATTTAATTAAATTTTTTTTTAAGGAAAAATTTGCAAAAATTAAATTCGTGATGATGAATCTTGCAAATTAAGAACTTATAGAACTTAACGAAAGAGAAGAGATAATTCTAGACGGAAAAATCATTTCTTCAATTTTTGCAAGGAAGAGATTTTTCGATTTCTAATTTAGATTGTATTTCATTTCTTAAAAAAATTGCACTTACTACTTTTAGCACCAATTAGTTTGATAGTTCAGAGGCATAACATAATATTATTGACAGCACACGCACACAAAAAAACAAACAAATATATCATTATAAACAGAAATACTCATAAAAAATTTTAGCACGCAAGAACTTCCCTTCCAATATCAATTATATTTCAGTGGATTAGAAATCAAAGAAATTATTTGTATTCGAAAATAGAAAGAAAGAAAGAATGATCCACTTGAATTCAAAAGTATGCTTTTAAAATATAAACTGAAAGGTAAAAAAATATTACTGTACTACATACTTATCTTTGTTTACAAAATTGTGTGAACAAACAGCAAAATGTAAGCAAACAACAAACAGCAAAAATTAAAAAAATGAAATTTAAAACTTCCATTCGAAGATATTTCAGCCCATAGATCTATTTTTAGGTTTTTTAATTATAATTTGCAATTCTCATTCGACTATTATACTTGTGAACTCATTTCTTTTTATTCATGTCACTTTCAATTCATATTTTTTTCAATTTCAATATTTATTCCAGTTCAATTTCAATTCATTCCTAATTGCTCCTATCTTTGCTAAAAAATATCAAATAAAATTACCTGTGCTTCGGCAATTTGAATCCGTTCAATATCCTTTAAATTACCGGACGATCGTCTGGATGAAATGGAATGTTGTGAGCTAGCAAGTGATGAGCGCCGATTATTACGAAGCATTGTTTCTGTTATTGTTGTTGTTATCGTTATCGTTGTTGTTGTTGTTGCTGTAACTTTTATTGTTATTGTTGTTGATGTCGTAGTTACTGCTGCTGTTGTTGTTGTTGTTGTCACTTTTCAAATGCTAGCATTATTCTTTCTTGTTGATATGAATAACCAAAATTCTTTCCATCAAGCAATCATTATGTTCAATAGATTATCATCAATCACGAATCAACTTATCCCAACTACTACTATTAACGTAACAGCGATTGCTAGCGGTAGCTTGTGATGATATTGATAATACTACTTGTATCATTGCAAAAATGATGAAGAAAGAAAGTTTAATATATTCATTCCATCTTCTATCTTCTACATCCATCTCTCTTTCCTCTACCTTACACATCTATCCCTAATACTTTGTTACACAAAAATAACTAACACTCTTCATTCATCCTACACTTCAACATTTTCCTTCTCTTCCAAACTAACCATACATTATATATCAATTGATATTACACCCTTTTTATTTCATCCTTAAATTGGTTGATAATTTATGAAACATCTGCATATAAAGGAAAATATACAAACATATGTATACATATTCGTCAAATTACATTTGATCAAAGGAATGAAAGAAGGAAATGAGAAGGAATTGAAGTTTCATATTTTTAGCTATAATTACTACAAGTGACAGCTGACTGGAACTTTCTATCTTCAGACAAATAAAGTGGTAATTTGAAATATTTGCTATGGTTTCAATATATCATTATTGATAATAATCCTATAAGTAATTGATCGCTTTATGAAATATTTCACGACGCAATGATTGCAATTTTAGTCAATTATAAAACATATTTGGAAATTTTTGCTTTTGAGGAGATTTGAATGATTCAAATTAAGATTAAATCAAAGCCGACAATGTTTCTTATTCATCTATTTCAATGCAACCGTGTATCGTGCCCAATATTTTACAGGCCGTATTTTAGGACTATTTTTATTTTAACCAATTTTCCAATATGTCATGGTGGTTTGAGGTGCGAGATAATATGCTGTTTGCATAAATCGATGTTTTTTAGATATTTGATGAGGTGTGATATGAAATACAAGTTAGGTATAATAAAATGAATCAAGATGGAGTGTCCTGTAGCATCATCAGTCGAGGTACCGATTATTTCCAAGGTATCTGTCTTTTTTTTGCATTAAAATTTTGAAATTAAATGCTACCTGGAAAGCGAATTATAATAGCTTATCATGCTTATATTGGTCTATCATATTGGAAGTTATACTGGGAAGAAATCAGATAAAATCCTTTATTCCTTTATTGAGATGTAAGGCAGTTGGGAAGTTTTGGTTCTAAGTTAAAGACAGATAGTTCACACTTTCCATATTTCAGCTGGTAGTAAATTGGGGAGAGTTGTGATAGACTCTAGTAAAGGAAAATATAGATCAGATTATTCAAGGATCACAAAAATTATTGTGTCAAAACTATTAAAGTAAAATATATGAAAAATATATCTAAGTGGCTCAAGATTTAATTTGTGATCCGTGTTTGATCGTCTAGCACTTTTATAAAATTGAAAAAAAGCTATAAAAATTTCAGATCACAGGGATTGTTGCTCGATTAACAAATAATATGGCGGCAGATGTTCAGCCACTAACATTTCAACGTCATAAAGTAGCAAATGGCAAAGCGGAATATGTCTACACTGCTAAGAATTCAGTACTTGGCTTTGGATTTCTTCTCATTTTACTTATTCATTGAAATTTTAAGTTACTTAGCCATCCGTGTAATTTCTAATTCCCAGATAGGTAGTTCGTAATCTTTTAAAAGAAGCAAGCCCAATATACATTTAGATATACATTAAAATTTTAATACTATAAAAACTGTACATTGGAAATTTGACATATTTTTGAAGTCGAAAAATGTGCAAATATATTTTTAATTTCAACTTATCCGTGCAGCATTTCTAATAATTTAAGTATGGAAGTGTTAAATTCTGAAGAAATAATGTTCCCAGGGTCCAGTATCAGAAAAAGTTGTTCGTTTGGGACGTGAAGAGTGCTCGGAAGATGAAGGATGTGATTATGCAGTTGCAGTAGTCAACAGACGAACAGGGAAGATAGACTGCTTACCAACTAAGTTGATTTGTTTCGAAAATGTACCAGCATCGGATTTCCAAATAATGTTAGATACTAGGTTTGTTGCATTTTTATGAAGTTTTTAGTTTTAGATATTCTATTTTTTGCTTCCGAGTAACTTGAAATTTGAGATAAAGTGAGGGAATTTCAGTTACAAAAGGAAAATCGACTATTCCATTGATAACACTATTAGCAGAGAATCGTGGGCTGATAAGCGGCGTGCATTAACGGATGACTTTGGATCAGTAAAAAAGATTAAGATGCTAGATGCTGCCAAACGACGACAAATTAAAGATGTGAGCCTTTTCAAATAAATGAATTTAAATTTGCTGGCCATCTTTTGCAGGAACAGGAAACATTTTTCAAACTTAAAACAATCGATTTTTAAGGAAACGTTGTCAGTTATGCTCAGTTCGGCATTTGCGTCTGCGAATATGAAAAAAGAAGTTGAAACAGTGGAATCTGAAATTTCATTGTTAGCAAAGGTAGGAAACTTTTGTCATGCAGAAAAGATTTGAATTTTTATCTTATCTTACGAACATGGGATTGAATGTGAAAGAAGATTAAATTTTTTCAACGAAATTAACGATCTTTATTAAATATCAGACTATTTTAATGAAGAGCTATATATTTCGAAGTGCGTGCTTCATTTCATATTTAACTAATCATTTAATTCTTAAGGTTTTTTGCAGACTGAGAGTTCAGTGCTACCGAAAGCAAATATGGATGTAAAATCGCCACGGGAAGTGTATCCATTCTCCAACTTTTTATCTGATGCGGAAGTTATCACATTCAAGTCTGAAGCATTTGATTATTTGAACGAATCAAGAAAAAATCTTATTGCAAATGGTTAGAGGATCTTTTACTCTTCGTATGATTGCTATCTTTCCGTACATATCAATCACTAGGTCATGAGATCCGAATTTTTCGATGATGATATTTTGATATAGAATGTAAAGATACAGAAGTATTGGATACTCCATCTTAATCTACCAATTGTTTTCTTCGTTAGCTTTAACCCTTTACGACAAAAAAAATCACAGTTGTTCATTAATGCAGCACAATACAGTTATATCCGCTCATAATCAGCGAGAAAACGAGTCATAACGTTTTTGATTATATTATCTGCTGCAGCAATAGCGTGCTTTACTGTACGAGATGCAACAATATATTGCCATTTAAAACATATAGTATACATTCAGGTGCAACTACACATTGCTTTTTAGCAGGAAATGCTGCTATAATTCAAGCTATTTCGTTATCTTTTATTGTGTTTTAGGTCTCTCTCCTCTTGTATGTAATCTGATTGGTAATATTAGTATAAATACCGAACGGACTTGTTATTTATTGCTGCTGGATGCTATGATACATTGTTACAAGGTAAATATTCACATACATATTGTTTGGTTTAAATTTCTGGAAAAAATATTTATACAATGCAGTCTGTCCTTTATTCGCAGTAATTTTTTTTCCTGTTTTTTTGCAGATTTTGGTAAAACGTCGTTTCCTTTTGCAATCAGAATGGCTTCAGTTGCAGTATCCAGTAACAGTGCTTTCTAAAATTCGTGAACTTTTTCTCCGTATGTTTTGTTTTCCTCAGTTCTGCTTCTGAAGTGACATAAGTAAACCTATATTGTTTAAGGGAAGAAAACTAACACCGTTTGAGAAAGGAGAAGCTGAATAAGCTTTTTTGAACAAGGGAGAAGGAATTAGCACTCGAATAAAAGAATGAGAATATGAAATTGAAGAAAACAAGGATAAAGATTTCCTTAAGATTAGAATATTTTTTTATGAAAGACTAATATAAGTTTTTGTCTCTTTTTTTATGAAAGACAAGTTTTTGCCTCTTTTTGTCTTGTTCCTGTTGTTTATAAAATATTCATTTAAAGAAATATATCGAAATTTTATTCTGAATGTATTTTCATGATATCGCCTTGCTTTTAGTTTCTGATTTATTAAAATTTAGCTTTATTATTTTACAGCTGGTGAATTCGTTAATGAAAATAGCAGAAGTAAACGAAAGTTACCAGTTAATTTAATGGCCAAAGATAGGTTATTGGCACATATTTTATGCTTGGCGATTTTATTAGATTGTAAGTTTACTCCTTCTCATACATTATGGTTAAAACTGTTCGGTTATTTACTGCATTACGTCTTTTTTAGTGGTAGAGGCGCGTGGTCATAATTCAACTGCCCCGCAGAAATTTTCACTGTTATTTGTTATTGTTAAATCATTTACCCACTGACTAAATGAGCTTTTGATGACTTCCAGCATTTTGGGATTTATTGGCCGAGAAAGGAAGATATATATAAGTTATAATTATATATTATATTATTGACGATTTTGTACGTTGCTAGTACACGAGCATCTAAAATCTTCAAATTTAATATTTTTTTAATATGGTTTGAATTGTTTTTCAATTGCTCGCATAATTCTTATGATCTGTCATTCAAACAGTGAAATTTCCCACTATTTTTATATTGATGAAACTTTTAATGCAGTTGTTTTTTACTTTTTTCCTCACCATTTAATGAACTGTCTATCGTATTTAAAGATGAAGATATGACTTTACCGATTACGCCGTGGGCTAAAGAGCTTGGAACTGCTGAACCAAAGATTACCAAAATGGCAATTGCACTTGGTTGTAAGTAAGTATTAATCTAATTTTATAAAAGATGATTAATGCTAATGCCAATTTTCAAAAGGTATTTTTAAAATCAAATTGAAATCAATTAAGTGAAATTTCTTACTCTAGTGTGAGCGCAGCAACAGCAGCCGATGGTGTTCGCTTGGGTACCTTACGTATAGCACGGTTAATCGGGCCGCCACAGACATCGAAAAAACGATTTACTGGACGAGCTAGTGCTAGAAGAGGTCGCTAAATTCCAGAAGATTAAAACATGACATATAACGTCATGTTTTTATGTTTTCCGTTTAGTGTGGTGTATCGAGCTGTTGCGTTCTTGTTGAATTTCGTTGTTGTTATTTCGTGCACACATTTAAGGAAACGGGTTTTAAATATAGTTGTTAGTAATATTTTAGTATTTCATTAGAGTTGTGTGGTCGGACGGTGATGTTTATTGCTGAAGAGAGTGGTGTAAATGGACACCAAACTATACTATCTCCTGAAAAGAACGAGGGATCCCAGTGATCAAACTTTCTTTGTTCTACGGACCAGTTATGTTTTCAGTGGTTCATATCCTTAATAATCGAAATATTTCACTTATTTATGCGAATCATAAAATGGTTTGTGAACTTCATCGCACTTCTGATCTTTTATAAGTGTTTTCTTAGGTTTTGAGTGAATTATTGTTTGTTTATGTATTTGCTTATTTTACGATTCTAGAAAAAGCGCTAAATAAAATTTGACTTTCGAAGTCTAATGTTTCGACATGAAGAATGTATAAAATTTATTGTAAATAACCTATTCAGATACATGGAAATAGAAAATTTTAGATAAATTTTTTAATTTACTCATTCCGTTTTTTACTTCCTAGATATTTCCTAGAAAGGAATAATGTTTCATGCATTCTAGAAATCTAATAATTACATGCTTATTTAATTTGCAACATTAAAGAAATTACAAGATTTACTTTTAGCTTTCCGATTTTTCTTTAAATTACTATTATTAAGTTGCATAAATTTTATTTACATAAAAAAGAAAATGAGAAGCGCAAAAAAGGAACGAATAATGAAGAACAAAAGCGCCCAATAATAACGAACTGCAGATATTCTCGTTTCAATTTCCGCCTAATTAGGAAATTGAACTTATTCATTCATTCTTACTAATCACATACTTTTCTTACCTGTGCTATTATCATCTTCTCTTCAGTAGTGAGTGAGAAGAAAAATAAAAACATTTAAAAGCTGAGATTTTTTTTTCAATATTATAATTGAAAAACAAAAACTGTATATAATTATTAAATCTTTCTAATATATCAATTTTTCATCATATTTTGTTGATGAAATGGCACTTTTGGTATTGATTGGCCAAAATGAAGGTACCCAATGTGGTTCTGTTTCCAGTTTCCTAATTACTTCCTTAAGTTCTTCCAGTGATCGATCAAGATCAACGTTCACTATTATTCGGTCG